CTAAGAAATTTCTCCTTTAAAACATAATCAATAAAACATCTCAATAATTCATAATATTCATATATTTTAGTTTAACTAAGATCGATTGTGAGGCCTTCCAGTAAGATTCCATACACAAAGTACACAGAGAGCGTAGAAAAGTGAATAGTTGTAAAGAATTATTTTTCTCTTTAAAGCGAGACCGACCATTCTTAGTAGGTCTCTAATCAATCTAACTCTTTGATATTACTCGACAACATTTTGAGCTAAGTACAGAGTTTCTTCCAGGCATCTCCCCGAAAGAAATGGAATTTATATAGAAAACATATACTTTTAACAGTGTCCCCCCCCCCCCCCCCGGAAAATATCAAGTGCCCCTGTCCGGAAATAAAAGTCCGGAAGAAACACTGGCTAAGTATCTCAACAAGTTTGTCTATTGCACGATCTAAAATATCATTAAAAGTTTAAGAACAGCAAACTTATTTTTTTTATTAAGAACATCGAACTTAATACTACAACCCATCAACAAGAACAAACTACACTCTTTCAAACTAAACGCCTTTTACATTTATCCCGCGTCCGGTTTTCAAGCACTTCTCCTGAGCTACACGCTCCGTCAAAAAGCTTTTGCCATACATTTTGAATCAAATTTCACGCATCGACTGCCGAGAAAACCACAAGGCATAAAAACCGTGGTTATATATTGATTTCATTGGCTTGAAACAACTTGTCTGTGCTCCGTTGATATGCCGTTTTCAGCTTTAGATGGGCCCATTTTCGTCCACATTCGGTCGTTAGTCATGCCATATATTTAACGAACCAGTGTAAAATTACAAAATATTTTTACCCTTAAAATAAACCGGGAGTGATCTCCCCTAAACTGTCTCGAATATTCTTGTATAACACTACGGGTGATGGCAGACTCTCGTAGAAAAAGAAATGCACACTAAGTGAACGTCAAATAAAAATGTTTATAATAGTGCGGAAAATTAATAGTACTTTGTAAATTTCACATGCGTTTTTTGAGAAATCAGAAATAGCATAAATTACTACTTCCGGTCAAGGAAGTTACTCAAAATTGGACAGAAGGTAGAGAATTAGATCTTTTACTTATATGTGAAACTTCATGTATCTCTCTGAAATAGTACTCAAGTTATAAGCTTTTGAAAAATTGAAAGTAGATAAAGTTCCACTTCCGGTTATCGGAAATCGCTGAAAAGTCGATACGGATCTACAAATTTGATATAATACTTATATCTGAAATTTCATCAACTTGAGTAGCGGTACTCAAGTTATCGTGTTTACAGACAGACATACATACACACACACATACACACAGAGACATACGGACACGATTGCAAAATTATGTTTTTCCGACTCATGATGGTGTAAAACGTCGAGATTTGCAAAAATCTAGATTTTTTTTTTTTGCACGATTACAATATTTTCTCCATACTCTGTATATACGAGAAAGTAAAAATGTAAGGATCGCAGCCTGGAGATCTGTCTGCAATCTATAGACCTATCTAACTAGTTATAGCTTCTAAATATCTCTACTGACCATGTAAATCGTGTGAGATTTATAGGTGAAAAGAGGATTTAATTATTCAATTTGATTACGTCACTAATGAAGATGTCTAATTAAGAAAGAATTACGCGGACTGAGAAATTAAATGGGGTTTTCTGACAGCGGATTTTGTTTGTGTCTTTTTTTGTCTTGCTGTCTTTTAACGTCTGTGTGAGTTATTCCTGTCTTTTTAACGTCTGTGTGAGTTATTCCTGTCGTTTTAACGTCTGTGTGAGTGATTCCTGTCTTTTTAACGTCTTTGTGAGTTATTCCTGTCGTTTTAACGTCTGTGTGAGTATTCCTGTCCTTTTAACGTCTGTGTGAGTTATTCCTGTCCTTTTAACGTCTGTGTGAGCGACTCCTGTCTATTTAAAGTCTGTGTGAGCGACTCGTGACTGACTTTTTACGTCTGTGTGAGCGACTCGTGACTGACTTTTTAAGTCTGTGTGAGCGACTCGTGACTGACTTTTTAAGTCTGTGTGAGCGACTCGTGACTGACTTTTTAACGTCTGTGTGAGCGACTCCTGTCTATTTAAAGTCTGTGTGAGCGACTCCTGTCTATTTAAAGTCTGTGTGAGCGACTCCTGACTTTTTAACGTCTGTGTGAGCGACTCCTGTCTTTTTAACCTATGTTAGAGCGACTCCTGACTTTTTAACGTCTGTCTGACCTTCTTGACTGACGTCTGAACGTTTGTCACAACGATTCTCGCTGAAGTTTGAATGACATCTCCGCCATTTTGATTCGATTTGAAGAAAAAAAAAATATCCCCCGAGAATAACCAGTGACCTTGACTTCTTAAAAGCTTAAACTTCTGCGCCGTTACGTTTTTTATCGATTAAAACATTCAACGGAAGAACCATCGACAGACATCACCCAACAGCGAATTTTTTTTACACATTATTTATTCACATTTTCTATTCACATTTTTTATTCACGACAGTCTACACAAAAAAATAGTTAAGATCAATATTTTTCCTTAATTGTGTAGTTCATATCACCCCATGCGACAACTGCACAACAGACTTAAATTAATTATTCACTGGGCGACCCGATGCTTTTGCCAATCTGAAATCAATAATGTCAGTTCCTTCAGGGGCTATACGACAATACAATATCAAGGGTTTAACTCTACCCCTTGGTCTACAACACCCCACTGTGTGATATATCAAGGGTTTAACTCTACCCCTAGATCTACAACACCCCACTGTATGATATATCAAGGGTTTAACTCCACCCCTAGGTCTACAACACCCCACTGTATGATATATCAAGGGTTTAACTCTACCCCTAATGTCAGTTCATTCAGGGACAATACAGGACTGTATGATATATCAAGGGTTTAACTCTACCCGTAGGTCTACAACACCTCAATGTATGATATATCAAGGGTTTAACTCTACTTCTTGGTCTACAACACCCCACTGTATGATATATCAAGGGTTTAACTCTACCCCTAATGTCAGTTCATTCAGGGACAATACAGGACTGTATGATATATCAAGGGTTTAACTCTACCCCTAGGTCTACAACACCTCAATGTATGATATATCAAGGGTTTAACTCTACTTCTTGGTCTACAACACCCCACTGTATGATATATCAAGGGTTTAACTCTACCCCTAGGTCTACGACACCCCACTGTATGATATATCAAGGGTTTAACTCTACCCCTAGGTCTACAACACCCCACTGTATGATATATCAAGGGTTTAACTCTACCCCTAGGTCTACAACATCCCACTGTATAATATATCAAGGGTTTAACTCTACCCCTTGGTCTACAACACCCCACTGTATGATATATCAAGGGTTTAACTCTACCCCTGGTCTACAACACCCCACTGTATGATATATCAAGGGTTTAACTCTACCCCTAGGTCTACAACACCCCACTGTATGATATATCAAGGGTTTAACTCTACCCCTAGGTCTACAACACCCCACTGTATAATATATCAAGGGTTTAACTCTACCCCTTGGTCTACAACACCCCACTGTATGATATATCAAGGGTTTAACTCTACCCCTTGGTCTACAACACCCCACTGTATGATATATCAAGGGTTTAACTCTATCCCTTGGTCTACAACACCCCCATCTGTGAAATATTAAGGGTTTAAAGTCTATAACACCCCCATATCAACTTGGGAAAGATTTTTGAAAAATATGCCATCACGCCAGTTTGATATACAGCGTTATAAGAAATCAATTTTGAAGATATTTTCACATAAAGCAGGACGCATTTAATCACGTGTTGTCACGTTGTTGTAACTTAGAGCGGTTACTTGACAGCAAATATAGGATAGGTGTGATAGGCTAGGTCTTGTTTATGACAGATGATTAGTTTTGATAGCCCGTGTCTTGTTTTAATCAGATGATTAGTTTTGATATCCTGGTGGAAACATGGTCGGTCTACTGAATTGAACTTTGTATGAACATAAACAATGTTTCTTCCAGACTTTTATTTCGGGGGGGGGGGGGGCACTTGAAATTTTCGGGGGGGGGGGGGGGGGGTAGACTTTCTTCGGGGGACGACGACACTGTTTAAAGTATATATTTTCTATATAAATTTCATTGCGTTCGGGGGGGGGGGTAGACTTTTTCATCGGGAAGGGGGGGGGGGGGGCAGACCCTGCACCCCCACCCCCAACAAGAGAAACTCTGCACATAAATATCCTATGGGAGAGGGTTGTCCTAAGTGGACTTGTGGAAACGGAAGGGCAAGAGTACACAAGTTTTACTTACGTGTACGACATAAATGAATGACCCCTTCTACTACAGCATCAAAAACGGAAGAAAAGTAAGACCACTAATTGGCTTTTTGTAGCCAAATTGAGACCAAACTGTCTCGCATTCGAGGACAATCAAGTAGCATATTTACTTTTATATGTGTACAGCTGGAAAGACTATATTTTCTAAAAATGTGCAGCGCTGTATATATATATATATATATATATATATATATATATATATATATATATATATATATATATATATATATATATATATATATATATATATATATATATATACCCTTAGCTAAAAAAACTTGCAGCGAACGATTCCAGTTTTGATTGGGGAGTCTTCACACATATAAGTAACTAATAAGTAAAAGTGAAAGCTAATAAGATATCCCAATTCAGTTCAACAGTTTATAAACACAACAAATCTAGTGCATACATGTCTAGACTATATCCCGCTCTAAGAGAAAAAAACAACACGTTACAAGCCCAATAAAAACAATGAGAAGTGTTAAAAAATGTAATTCGATCTAGATAGTAAAATTAACAGTACTTTTTTCAATGCATGTCACACACACTTATGCATTATATTAGACATATAGATCATGAATTGAACACTCTTCACAGAAATACACAGAAATAAAAGGCTTTTAAATAAATACTTTTTACTAAATTATATACACAATTAAGTATTTTCGAATAAAAATCTCACCCCTGTTCTTTATGCCTGATGTCCTGAATGTGACGTACACCGGCTAAGTGACAAAACAAACCACTTTAGTGAAGTCTACGAAAACTTGATTATCCTTGATTTAATTAAAGATATTTAGAATAAAAACTGAGTTAGCTTATAAAAACACAAGCCCGCGTCCACTGGTATTTCCATTCGCGCTGAACTAGCCTGGGAGTTGGCAGAAACTCTGGTGGTACCAGAACCGAGGCGGTCAGCGCGTGTGGCGGCACCATGGCGATGAGAGCGGTTGACTGTCGTGACAGTCCCTCATTCAGACGCTCGCTGCCAAATATTATCTCAATTCTCATTAGTTTGGTTTTGACAAAAATCATGCATGCTAGTGTTGAAGTCTAGCTAGTTTAAATCCATATAATGATATTATATCATGCATGCTAATATATATATATATATATATATATATATATATATATATATATATATATATATATATATATATATATATGTATAGACGTGTGACGTTCTCTTTTGGGTTGTGTTCAACCCCTTCTCACTGCACCCAAAATGCGACAAAGGTGTGTCACCACTTCTCTTGTATTCGTTAAAGCCTAGAATTGAGCCGCTAAACTTAGAACACCTTATTTGGCTCTGAGATATACAACTCATTTAAAGTATTACACTCTGACTGTAGGTTCGAGATCACAACACTTTATTTCTTGATTAATAATCACCATTCAAAGAATAACACGTAAATTAACAGATCTACAATAGCACACGTCCATGCACTGTATCACACCGGATCTCACGTTCTACTGACACTGTTCCCTGCGTTCAATCTCTGCGACGGTGCACTCAATAAATAAATTTAGATCAAGCAGGTTTTTTTTGTTCACAATGGTAATATTGAAAGACCATTCCAGTTATTACATGTTAGGGCCAAATATTACTGCATATAAAAAACACAAATGTAAATATACTTCAATTAGATTTAGATCTATATTGAGTGTATTGACCCGACAACAAAATTGAAAAAAAAAATCAGGAAAAATTGAGAAAAATCAATAAATTTTTGCCTAAAGCTGCGGATATCCATCCATCCATCCATTCCCAGAAATGACGAGTTAATAATCGCAATTCTCCAGAATGGAAATTGCGCTAAAAACTTCGTTGAAAACCTAACTTTTCCGCACCCCGAATCACCAGGGTGAATGATCTCGCATCCTTGTCCAAGCACGAAAACCGTTGCTTTGGTCCTTATTATTGTTTTCTGGCAAAATATATAGATTTTAAACCCAAGCTCTCAATCTATATATATAATTCTCTTCTGGGAGCCGTTAGAAAACAAGCTGCAAGCGCCTCCTTGCAGTCCCCTCTCTTTCTCCCTATCACTATCACTACCACCCCACCCCACCCCCACATTGTCTGGTGAGCTGTGGTCACGCTAAATGTTTACAAAGCTAAATGTTTACAAATCGTAGAGCTGTATAGCCGGGTTTCTATTAGGGGCAGATAATTTAGTTCGATTTTAAACTTACAGGAGGTAACGAAGAAATAACTAAGAGGAGGCTGCTTTCACTGGGGGGGGGGGTGTAGGGTCGGGGTTAGGGGAAAGAGGGGGTGGGGGTTAGTGTTTTAAAGCAAATATTTTCAGTGGCAGCATTGGTACTGTCGAATTTACAAATTATGAATTACTGAAAAGTAGAAAATAAAACAACTAAATAGCGGCGTATGATACGCTGCGGGTCGGCTCGTTTGATATAAAATATTCAAGACATTATTAGACAAAATAAAAACTATTAGTTTTTTTCGGTAATATTTTCATAGATTTTTTAAATAACTTTTATATCAAGGGAGACTATTCTTATAGATTAAACGTCAAAATGGCTCCCGTTGATCCTTTTACAGCATATGCTGTAACTGCTTTTGCCATTGTGTTTATCATACTTGTAGTAACCTTAATAAATAAATTTAGATCAAGTAGGTGTTTGTTCACTAATGTAATATTATAAGACTATTCCAATTATTACATTATTAAGGTAAAACTCCATTTTAGCGTATTTTATTCTCCGCTTCTTGTTTACCTCCAGTTGAGCGTATTTTATTATAACAACCGAAACACACCAAAACATTAGGAAAACACGATTTATTATTTGTATTATGTATTGTATTTTTGTTTTAACAAATGAATAAAAAAAACAAAGAGACTGACTTTGTCAAAGATTTTGATAATTTACTTTTGTTAAAAGTAGAGAAAAATCCAAATTTAGAACATTGAATGTGCAATGTTCGTGTGTCAGAATTTTCATGGCAATGGGTGAAATACGTAAACGTAACTCACAATTGCAAAGGCGGTTAAGTTTGTATTGTTACAAGTATCTCCCAGGCATGATACTATAAATAAACATTAATGAACTTACAATGACCCCAAAACTGAGGCCAACACAATTTCAAGCAGCTATTGCTGGAGCTATGACGTATGCTGCTGCGCATGCTGATAATTAAAGTCAATGTGAACTCACGGTGAACCTGCAACCGTGTAAGGATTTTTCTCCCGCTGACGATCACACGATGTTTAATTGGAACAGTTCTAATGCTTTTTTATGTCTTTTTTACCTTTTCTAATAAAAAATCGCATTCATAAAAAAAAAGTAGATCTGTGTTTAGTGTTTTCCTAACGTTTTTGTATGTTTCGGTTGTGTTTACAATAAAATACGCTCAACTGGAGGTGAACGTCAAGCGGGGAATAAGATACGCTAAAATGAAGTTTTACCCATTATTAAGCCTTAACAGTTATCGCAACGCAGTCGAAATACACGATTATCATCAATTCATCAATTTAGACAATTTTCATTATTTTTCATCTTCATCTTCAAGTTAAAGATTCAAATCATCATGAAGAGGCCTAGATATATGACATATGTCGCTTACATGTTAATTTGGGACCAAATTTATTAATTTAATTGTCTAGTTTACTCAGGGGCTGGGAAAATTTAAAAAAAATCAAAGTTAGCCTACCTAGTTAGTAGACCTAGATCTAGTCCTAGTTATACCTAGGCCCCTAATTACTAATTAATTAGATTAGCCTACTTGATTACCTAAACTTTTTTTCGTCATCAAAAAAGTTACATTGAACATTGCCATGGTTTTTGTTCTCTATTCTTAGCATGATGATGTTATGCCCTGTTATGGCAATTACGACACTGGCTATTTTACATGCCAAAAAAAACCAAAACATCTTGTTAGTAATAAAATTTTATTTTATAGACCTATTCATTTTTTTTTAAGGAAATATTAGACATAGGCCTATTTGTTATAAGTGGGACGGAGTGGTCTAGCGGTAGAGAGCTGGACTGCTAACCCATTTTTCTCGAGTTTGAATCCGAGTTCAAGTCAGTAGACCACACTATCTCTTCATATGCCGAGGTCACAGAAACAAGTGAACTCTACTTTACTTGCCCCATAGACCGTCAGGTTTGAAAGGGAAACTTTACTTTACTTACTTATTTGTTATAAACTCTAGGCCTACATACAATTTAATTAAGACGTTACATGATTAATTGAAAAATAGATACTCATAATGGTGATAATATCCAAAACTAAAAATAGATCTGATAGAAATTGAAATCTAAATCTAGACCTTGTAAAGACTATACAGTATTAGTTCAGAGTTCAAATGATAGATCAACTTTTTTCAAACTGTAAAATAAATCCTACTTAATTTTTTCTCTTCTATAGTAGCATTAGGCCAAGTTTTTTTTTCAGCTAAGCGTAGTAAAGCTATAGTTCTATAAGCTTGTGTAAACTTAAAATGAACTTAAAAAAATGCCTGTTTTACAATTTGCTTGGTTTATGAAGGGAGAGGTGGATGTGACCACCGACGATCTCGAACAAAAACAACTTCTGCCTTTAAAAAGAAATAAGAGCAGTTTTTCTTGAGGATTAATTTTCTATTTGTGTGTCAATTGTTGGTAAACGTGGTTGTCTTTTCTAATGTAAAATAAGAAATGAAGATATTAAATGTTGTTTTCTCAGCTCCACCTAGTACAGATAAACCAAGAGTTGTTGCTCCTGTTGGCATTCCCCCTGCTAGGAATGGTCCACCCGGTATGCGAAGAAGAGTCAGAAGGAACAGGATGGCAGTTGATGATGCTTCAGGTAGGGTTCCAAACCCTCAAGTAATGATATAAATGTCATGCTCTTCACTTTGCCACAACATCACATACCAAGTTGTCAAACTTTATGTTGTATTACTTGAGACTCCTAGGCACTAGCCTAGTGCCAGAGTTCACTGGCAGCATGCTACTGATATGGAATACAAGTCTGTGAAGGTGTAACAAGATCATCTAACTAAATTATGTTTCTAATGCCTCTGAAATAAAATGACTACTGGAAAAAGTAGCTTATACCGTAATGGCTGTGTTTTCAACAAAACAGTTAGAAGCATACTTTTTTACATGGCCAAACAGAAGAACAGGAAAGCTAATGGGTATTGCTTTCGATTAGTTGACTAAACACAGCTTATGTCACAAGAGGATAATATTACTGCATGATAAGGAAACCAATGAACAAAAGCTAAAGATTGGGATCCTTTTCTGAGTGCTGAATGTCAGAGAATAACAGTGATGCATTTATGTATGGCCAAAATGTTCTGGTAATTTGTGGACATTGAATTACGACAGTTGCTGTGAGGATTTGCAATGAGAATGTTGTAGGAAGAAAGAGACAGTCAAATGGTATCTTATAAAATAATTGATACAAATACAAAATGATGACACTGGTCAAAATTAAAAATTCCCTTTTGCATCTTTGTATGACACTGTGCAGCTTCCTTTCACCAGTTATTATAAAAGTTTGTTTCCCAAACAGTGGTTGACTTGAGATTTTCCAAATATCCTTTTGGGATATTTAAATACAATCTCATAACATAAAAATAAATAAATGCCCTATATTGTTTTCCATCTGTAATATTTTATAAAACTTGTCTAATTCTGTTTTCATAATTTTGATATAAATGTTAGATGATGATGATGATGAGGATGACATACCAGAAGTTGATGTTTCAAAGCCAGAAGAAAAAATTGGAGCTAAAAAGATGAAAAAACTACAAGAAAAAGCTGAGAGGAAAGCAATGAGAGAAGTAATACATTCTGTTGTTGTCACATTTCCATTAACTTTAACAGTAAAACCTATTTATTATTAATAATCTGTTTAAGTATGAGATAAATATTTTAATAAAATTTTGTTTGACTAAAAAGCTTTCTCGAGATTTCCTGGATAAAACTAATTTACTATACTTTAGTGGACACTACTTTGAAGTTTGTAAATGTTTATTTTTTATTTTAATACTGTAATCCTAAAGCCTAAAAAAAATAATTAAGTATTTTGTATGCTCCAGTATTGCTATTAGCTTCTATATAACGCTGAATTTTTAATGATTTGTGAATGTATTTATAAAATTGTATTCTACTAGCAAGAGGAAAGAGACAGAGAAGAGAAGAAGAAAAGAGAAAAAGAGCTGGAGTTGCAAAGAAAACAAAGAGAGGAGCTTGAAAAACAAGAAGCTGCAATAAAAGTGAGTAAGCAAGAACTATTCTCTGAGTTTTACCTTTAATTTAACAGATTATATACTTTTTAGTTAAGAAGGTTTTATATTTGTGATAACTTAGAAAACTAAATAATGTAATTAATTATCAGTAATTTGCAGTTACAAAAATTATGTCAGTTCAGTTGATTCTTTTTTCAAGCTTTTACTTGGGTCAGATTTTGGGTGGGTAGGTTTATGCTCAGATTTTGTAACTAAATTTTGACCTAATTTTTAGAACTCTGTCAAAATAAGAATTCTCCAAATAATTAGCTATTAAATTAATAACTACAAATCAATTAAAATAATACCTTACTTATACTAAAACAAAGGAGTAAGATAGGTGACAGCAATCATGTGAAATGGTTTTAAGAAATGTCATTTCAAATCTTGACAATGTGTTGAACACTAATAAGAGGTATAAAATATGTGTATATTATTATTATAAGCGAACTACTGATCAAAGTTTAAACAAAAATAAAGATGGGTGTCAACTTAATTAATGGTTATCAGCTTGTTAAGAATACATCTGAAACTGATTGTTTGTAAAATTTAAATTTTGCCTTACTATTTCATGTTTGTAATTTCTAGCTACTACCACGTAACAAGCAAAACAAATACTAACTCTTTTTTAATAGCAAGATTTCGGATACATTAAAAATTAGTAAATAGACCATAGTAATATGTTTGATCCAGCACTTTTTGTTTTTAAAAATTATTTATTTTCTTATTTTAAGTGCAGTTAAAGCTTGTAGTTATAAGGTTTTTATTCATATTTTATCTCTTAGAGCATGCTAATATTGTTAATAAAAGTGATTTATGTTAATGTCAGGTCTACTGCTTAGATAATGACTCTACAATCATTTTAAATGGTTAAACTGATGTATGGGGGAAATTCCATGAACAGAATACGTGAAGACCTGTGGTTTATGAAGTAGTGATCAGAATTATTAGTTACTTTCAATTCAATAAAATTCTTCAGTGCTTTTACTGTAATTCTACTTCTACTGATAAAAATATTACATAAGTATTCATTATTTGTAAATATTTCTGTGTATCGTAATTTTTTCCTTTAGGAAGAAGAGGAAAGAAAAAAGAAAGAAGAACAGGAACAAAGAGAGCATGAAGAATATCTCAAGATGAAAGCCTTTTTCTCAGTTGATGAAGAAGGTCTAGGAGAAACTGAAGCTGATCTCAATGTATGTATATTTTATAGTAACAGCACATCATACTTTGATAAAAAGCATCTTCATTTAATTTTCTTACTGTGAAATAATTGTTACATTTATTTCTATATTTATTACTTTTCTATCACCATGCATTTCTCCTTTTTTTAACAGAGTGAGTCATTACTGGGTCAGTTTATAAATTATATTAAAGTAAGTAATATTTATTATATAAATATTGTAATATTATATACTGAATTTTTGTTTTGTTTTTTAAAAAGTTTAAATTTTAAGCCAATTCTAGCCAGAAGAAGATGCGCTTAACACTACAATGACCTGATTTTTCTTGTCATCTAAACGTGTTCTTAATGTTGTCAGAAGAATAAGAATAAAAGGGTAATTTTATCCCAATGCCCAGCTATTAATACTATTATGGGTAATTTGAGACTTTTAATAGTAATCACTGTGGTCAGAAGATTTTTCTGATTAGTCACTTCATAAATTTTAACATTTGAAATTTTGAATATAAAATATAGTGGAGATAACTCAAAAGGTCATTTCTAAAACTTAAAATTAACTAAGTTGTCGCCCTTGATGAAAAAAAAGTCCTTTGTATGCAAACTTAAACATTTGAATAATTACTGGAAGTAGATTTACCAATAATCTTTTTTGTGAAAATTATTTATGTTTGAATAATTATGCTTGTTTTATGTTGTGCATGGCAGGAAACCAAAGTAGTGATGTTAGAGGATTTAGCTGGCCATTTTAAACTCAAGGTTCAGGACGTCATTCAGAGAGTCCAAGATCTACAGGCTGAAGGTCGTTTGACCGGTGTCATTGATGACAGGGGCAAATTTATTTACATCACCATGGAGGAGTTGGAAGCAGTTGCTCGCTATATTCGCCAAAATGGTCGTGTGTCTATCTGTGACCTTGCAGCATCCAGCAACAGGTTGATAAACCTTGACCCAGATACCTCATCTTTAGCCAAGAAAATAGCAGCAGAGGTGGAAGACTTTGTTGCAACAGAAGAGATAACTGCGTAGCTTTTTGTTTATGTTTTGCTTGTATATTATTGGGATTATAGTCATTAAATTTATTTATATATATAAAGTATGTTTGTTTTTCTTTTTTTTTTTAATTTATACATACAAATACAGATTAAAATACTTTGAAAAATGTTTTATAACTGTAAGCTAAGGGCAGTCATAAAATAGCGAATTAGAAAATTTTATATCTCCTAGTGTCTTTTTGTTAGCTGTTCTTGGTGTTAGTAACACCAAGCGATGGTGATTGACATAAAGCAAATGGGTGAACATTTGGTAAGTCATAAAGCTAATAAGTGAACATTTGGTAAGTCATAAAGCTAATAGGTGAACATTTGGTAAGTCATAAAGCTAATAGGTGAAACTGGTTAGATATTCTTTCAACTTCCTTTTACATAAATGTAAAGCAATTAGGTGAATATTTGGTTGGATATGTGATCAACCTTCTATGGTGTGCATTAACATTGATAAAGATACAGTGGATTATCTATTAACATACTACTAATAGGTAAAGTTTAATAAATGTCCTTCTAATCTCCTATAATATGAGCATTAGGTGTCATCATATTCAGCAGAGTTAAGGGCTATAAAAATTAATACAATCATTTGCTAATGTTTTTGTATTAGTTTAAGTGAAGCATGTGGTTGAAAATATACTCAAATTCCTATATCGGTGGTTGGACACTGGATAAAGTACCAATTCATTTTCTATATAAATTATATATTTTTCTATTTCGTTCGGGTAAGGGGGGGGGGGGGGGGGGGCAATGCCCACCGAGCAGATGCCTGAAAGAAATTGTTGTGTATAACCTTTTTTCTATATTTAAATAAGTTGATACACCAAGTGTTAGTCTAGTTTATCTTTAACTGGCACACTTTACACAACCCACTGTATGGGATCCTTACTTTACACAATGTAAACAAACCCACGTCTGTACCTCTGTAAACTTCAGAACGTCCCCAACGCGGCTATAGTAAATCTACCTCGTCTTGTTTCGTATTCCATAATTATAGCCTAGAGCCAGACAGCATAGTTGTCAAGCGAAGACAAACAGTGCGTTTTTGTGCCAACACCAGCAATGAAGCAAACCGTGGAACAAGCCTTAGAATATACGTTTGTCAGCACGGGGTAAATTCACACGAGGGCTGTGGAAATTACGCAAAAAACTTGCTGTGAAAAAAAAAATTACCGCATTAAAATGGTGCCAGAATATCGGGGGAAATCCTAGATTAACGAGCCAAAATTTAGAACGTGTGTAATAATGAATGTGTTAAAGAGGTGGAAGCGTTATCAATCCAGTTAATTTTAGTAGTAGAAGAAAGCCGTATTAATCACTGTCGTTGTAACAGGATTTTGAAATCATAAGCATCAAGACGATCTAGATCTATATATAGACAGAGTTTCTTCCAGGCATCTCTTCGAGGGGGGGGGGGGCGAATCCAGTGTTTCTTCCAGACTTTTTTCTCCGGGGGGGGGGGGGGGGGGGGGGAGCACTTGAAATTTTCGGGGGGGGGGGGGGGCGGTAGACTTTCTTCGGGGGGGGGGGGGGCGGTCACTGTTAAAAGTATATATTTTCTATATAAAATATATAAATTTCATTTCGTTCGGGGGGGGGGGGGGGGGGGGGCGGTAAAAAGAGATGCCTGGAAGAAACTCTGGGCGAATCTCCCCCGAAAAAAATTTACTGCCCCCCCCCCCCCCCCCCCCGAACGAAATGAAGTTTATATAATATATATATATATATATATATATATATATATATATATATATATATATATATATATATATATATATATATATATATATAAACCCCCGAAGAAAGTCTACCGCTCCCCCCCCCCCGAAAATTTCAAGTGCCACCCCCCCCCCCCCCCCAGGAGAAAAAAGTCTGGAAGAAACACTGGATATAGATTAGAGTAGCCAACCTAGAAAGTGGATTTAGGTGAAACGGGAGTAAAACTAGAAAGTAGATCTAGATTTAGACGAAAAAGGAAAAGTTGGCCAAAACTGTTATTATTTTAGTAAATTTTTATGATTCTGCTTGTATTGTTATGTATACATTATGTATAATATTTCTATTGTACAACAGCTTTCATTATGAGGGCTAGTGAACAATGGAAATATTAAATAAAGCTGTGTGCGTGAGGTGGTCCCATTTTGTTTTATAATGAGCGTAATCTCATTGGCTGCTGGTCGCCTTAATCCACCTAGCGTAGATTGTAGGTTAATGCACAGAAACTTCTGTAGTGTGATGAAACACTAATCCATTTAATACCATTATTAGGTTCTATAAGACCCACACTTTTATTATCAGGGTTTGCTTTTATCCGTCTCGTATTTGTACGTCAGCACTAAATCATGATTTTTATAACCTTTATTTTTATTTTAAAAGCTTATTGTATTACAGCAGAGGAACACTCGGTACTCTCAGTTGTTTACAAATGACGTCACGGGCTATAGAGTGGATGCCTGACTTCGGTGGCCGTGGGATATGGTGACAGGATGGAAGGATTATGAAGAAGTGACGTAGAATAGACATACAATAATTTTTTTCCCCCAGAAATAAAAATATCAACAAGTATATTAAATTCTGGAATTTTAGTCTAGCTTTTTGTGATGATGAGAAGAGTTTGGGGCAGAGGCGTAGCGACCCTTCCCGGCACCCGGGGTCAAACTTTTCCATTTGCACCCCCCCCCCCCCCACCCTCAAGATTTCGATTAGCACCCCCTCCCTTAAACTTTCGATTTGCACCCCCCCCCTCGAAATTTCCATTTGCACACCCCCCCCCCCCCTCAAGCTTTCGATTTGCACTCCCCTCAACCTTTCAATTTATTTTTCCAACCCATTTTGGCGCCCCCTAAGGTCGGCGCCCGGGGACATATGTCCCCCCCCCCCCGCTACGCTACTGGTTTGGGGTTGAAATCAATTAAAACTGTGAAGTCAATTACAACGTACCCCGTTCTATGAATTAGTTTTTTAGTTTTTATTAAAAAGGAAGTATCTATATTATGTAGGGCAATAAGCGTTCTCGAGGTTCTGCCTTATCTGACCTTACCATGGGGTCAAAATCCCACCCAAATTTTAAAAACCTGTTGACAATGGTTAGGAAACTTGAACTCAAACGATCCGGGCTTGTCACAATTGATCAGGTCGACAGTATTAGCTAATGATTCCTGCTAGGAACAGTTCCAGACTGTTGAAAAGGGGCAGGCAAGAGAAAAGAAGGGGGAGATAACTTAAACTGAAGGATGTAACACTCGGAAGATAAAGGGGGGTGGGGGGTATAGACTACGTGACTGCTAGTAGATACATTTTAATATTATTTTAACATACTGGCTATATGACCAGCATAGCGCATTATATATAGATACACACACTTAAAGGCATTACTTTATCCATGAAGACAGGTAATACGTACTTTTTTTGGTGGGGGATTTTAAGTGCCCTTATCAGAAAAAAATGAAAGAAACCCTGGAGCAGGCACACATTCCTCTTGTGCCCAGTTCAAGCAGCCTGGTTCATGAGCCCCATTTTCCCCGTCTTGTAACTGATACATTTTTTTACACGTCAACCGGGCCATTCAGATTCTTATATGCCCAACTCCCATGTATTTTTTTGCCCCTCTTCAACTTCAAGGCATTGGTATTTCGTTGTACCGAATTGTTCATATCTAGCTGTTTTCTCAAAGACACTTGCAGCTGCTCAACTTTTCTGCAGTTTCTTGCCTCTTTGGGCCGTCATGGGTGTTTTACCAAGTATGTTCTATTCGCCTAGTTTAAAAATAAATTAGCAGGTGTCTAACATCAAACTTACTCCATTCTACCCATATAAACATAGTGGTAAATATTATTTGAGGCAATGTTGAGTAAAAATACCAATGTGCATTAAACATGGATCTCCACTCGAGATATTCAAGCCAAACAACTGTTTCCTCTCCCTCAAGTACAAATGTTTTTAAGTTTTAGATCTAGAGTGATGTTAATGGGGGGGGGGGAGGATATTTTTGAGTAAATTGTAGGTGAAAGAGGTTTTTTTTGTTTTTGTTTTTGTTTTGTAAAGGCAGGCTATTTAATAAAAGAAAAAAAAAACAATAGAAACTTTGAGTAAGTATTGGTTTATTCACTTTCTTACATGCAGACAAAGAAAATGACTACTGAAACGATGAGAAAAAACTGACAACTACTTTCTGTTTGACTTACATTCCTAGCATACCTGTAAACAAAGAGAACCCAGGTAAATATGTGCTAAGGCATTAAACTTGTTATTTCAGGGCACCTCTATTGGTATCTCACAGTCAAAGCAGCTTCCAAGCAAAACAATGATGATGTACACATGATATTACATAAATAAGTTAGTTGTGGTGTAGAAGATATTGCCACTAAGATTTTTAACACAAATATCCAGGAGAAAAAAATCATTCAAATTAATACAATATTTACATGCCAACTAAACCTATTTGAAACAAAAATGGATTTGATTACATGAAAATGTTCATCTTAATGAAAATGAAAACATACTTGTACTAAAGCTTAGACAGTAATACTAAAAACAAAAATATAAATTTAAACAATTGGGTAAACAATTTTAAACTTGCAATTATCTATGATTATATATCATGAATGACTTAATACTTCTCTTCTTCTTTAATGATGAACTAAGTAATGAAAACATTGGTTTCTGGTTCAAAACCAAACAAGCAATAGTGAATGGCCACTAATTACATCATCAAATAACTATCTAAATAATTATTTTAAAATTAGCATTAGTCAAATGAAATCCAATGTGGAGAAATCAGTTAGTAATGGTGTTAGTAACAAAGTTATTCTGGGTACTAGGCTACAAGTGAAACACATGTAGGTGTGTTATTGGAGATCATCTGACTAATGTCAAAAAGATCTAATGATGACTACAAAGCACCAACTAATGATAGTTTGGCTCTATTCATTGAAGAATGTTAGTACAAATATAAGCTTACAAGTGCACTACAGAAAATAATTACCTTACATTTATTTTACCAGAAGCTAATTTGTTTTTTTTAAATTAAATCTGTGTCTGTTACTAAGCAAGTGTTTTCTGGCTATAATTTGTAAAGGGCTGATTAATTTTATCAGAATGAATAAAGCAAGAATGAGTTCAATGGATGTTACTGGGAAGCATTGGAATGGAAAGTTCCTGAACAAAGGTAACAATGTTTACAGAATTGGGATACAAATATTTGAGCATATAATTACAGTACAATTTTAAAATGCCAGGTTTAAAAAAAAGTTAATCTTAGTAGCAACTCTGTCATTACAAAGCAAATATTTATAACAAAGTTGGCAAACTGCTGTGAAACTCAATAAATAGAAGTAGAAAGTGAATACTAAATTACACAGACTGGTCCAGATAAAGCGTTACTTACTACAAATAAATATTTTAAGATATAAAGATAATTTTTAGCACACTTACATATATGCTTAAAAACAAAGCTTTTATAGTAATAATAAATCAAATGATATAATACATGAATGTTTGATAACTGCAGGATATGAATAAGTTAAGTTTGTCAATTTGTACAATTGTGATACTCAGGAAACACAGACCATCTACCTTCACCCCCATCCTGTGATTGCCATGTCATGAGACATAAAGGTTACCCTGAGATGTATCTAATCATCTGATCAGGCAATACTACTTCTGAAACAAAAACAACTTCTTACTGTGCTATTAGAACATTTGATAAAAAAACTTACCTTATTTTTAATTTGCTTAAACCTTGATAACATTAATTAAAACAGTTTATTACTTTTCCTTATGTTTCACATCAAGTTAGGAATACATCTGAACATATTAATTACATATAATCCTCTACAATAGCACAGGTTTCAATTTTTGGGTGGTGACCTCTTAAAAAGGCAAGTGACACACAACCCTAATACCATTGAAAAAGGCATTTTAAACACCATAATTTTTTTAAAAATGGCCTTAGAGGGAATATTTTATTAGTTTACAGTGTGATCTCATATGGGTCATGTGCCATAGACTGGGAACCTGTGCTCTGTAGAATACTGCTGGTACAGCATGTAAACAAGCTTCATATAGCACTACTTTTCAAATAGGATAAAAATAGCATCACAATGTATTTCTCATCTTTCAAATGAAAAATATTCTACTAACACGTTTTAAATTGTTAATGATTGATGCAATCTTTATGCAATTAATGCCTTTATTACGGTTTTAAATTTATGACACTAATCATTTAGCATATAAAAGTGTGAGGACAGTAAAAAAAAAATAGCATCCTCCTGATTCAAACAGATCACAAATGTATAAAACGTGATATCTTTAGGCAACACTTTTCATAAGAGACGTATCAACCATAAGTGATGGTGGAGATCACGATTTAGAGATTGAATGTTAATGAAAGGGGAAAAATGAAGCAATCTCCACATTTATTTGTTGTTGTTGAAGAAATTCATTTTCATCTTCATGAAATGAAAAAAAAATGTCACCAAGGTATTTTAAATAGCTGAAGGTATCTGATTACTAAATCACAGAATGTGAGCAGGGAGGAACACTAAAGCCCATGTCAATTAAGGTAGCATAATGCAAACAATTAGTACATTTTGTTTTATTAATAAAGCAATGACATCAGAGGAATGTAAGTTTTACAATGTGTATAAAGTGTGTACAAGATTTTTAAAAAAAATCAAACAAAACACCTTAGAATAAATTGATTTAGTATACATTTCTGTATCTGATTTTACAAAAATAAAACTAAACTCAAAATCATCATAGACCTGCTAAATAAAGTGCCTATAAATTAATAATATAATGCTTTGTTAATTGTACTTTTATAACTTTTGTTTTTATTATAATTTTATTTGACATTAGATATTTTTCCCATTTTAATACTGTAAACTACTCTTAAAATGTCCTTAACACTGAAAGGATAATTTTATATAAACATTACTCTCTATCTTATTACACAAGACATTGAATCAAAATGTTCCCTTTGTAAATAGTATCACCAAACAATAAAAAGTTTAATAAGTTTTAAACTTCCATTTTGTGCAAATAAATGAGTAAACCTGTTTGTTTTACTGTAAGTTGCTGCCTGTCAAGATTGGCTTCATAAATAGTTTCATACAATACTTGCAGACATGTAGGCTACACAAGTTATATTAATGCTTGAAGGATTAAACTTGATCCTCAGCAATTTGAACAATGCCAAATGATACACATTAAAAAGTCATGTTTACAACTTACCAACTGGCCAGGGAATATTCTCATTGTCTTAAAAAATTATTTTCAACATAAACATAGCTGGACAGGTATGTTGAGTTGGAAGACAAGAAGAGATTTAATTTTATGAAATAGTTTCCAAATAAAAATGTTTTCAAAGAGAGTTTTTTTCCCAAGTAAATAAAATCAAATCAATATCAAATCAGACAATTGTAATCTTTAAAACAGTTCATTTATTAAATTTTGATTTGTTTCCATCTTTTCCCATTTTCTTATTAAATTAAAACAAAGCATGGTAATATTTTTAGTTCTTAAAAAACAGTTTTTATTCAAGCTTACAGTTTTAGTGACTTACTTTCAAATTTAATTTTATAAAATAAAAGCCAAATTAAAATGCTTTAACTTTAAAAACTGGCTTAACATTAAGATAATTTGAAGAAAATTAATGTAGAACAATGGAAACTATAAATTAGATGGAAGACAAAGACAAATTACACAGTTTACTATTTGTTTAGCTGTAGTATTTATTAAATTACTTAAATGAAAAACCTATCAGTGTAAGGACATTAAAATGATAATTTCTTTTCATAATACTTCACAAAAACAATTGTTAAAAAAGGCAAAAATTAATTTAACTTATGCATGTATACATATTTTTTAAAGTCATTCCTAGGTTAAGGCAAATTAGTAATATCAAAATGCATACATTTGTGTAAAACATCAACTGAAAATATAACACTAAATGTAATTTTTGAATGTAAAAAGAATAGCAAATAATATCTATTTCAATTTTCATCAAACAGAATTATAATGGAGACACAAAAAAATGCAAACCAAACATGAAGTATGGGCAATGAACCAGTCTAATGATTTCTACCAGATCTAAGTCCTAACATTTGCTAGATCACCTAAAGCTGTCCTTTCTGTAGTAGCAACACATCATTACTTAAAGCACAACCCTTCGTCATCTGATTCCTCTTCCTCCTCTGTGTTCTCTGCATCACTTAAACCAAGATCAGCGTATTTGCCATCTGCAGCTGAAAAAGATAGAAGTTTGATCAATAAATCAAGATAATATTTATTTTAAAAAGGTAGGGCCTATATGGGATCTATCTAGAACAAACTAGCTTGATTCAATACATAGAAAATCATGGTTGTAACAGTTATGATCACCTTCTTGAGGCTTCCAGAATTTACATATTCTAGCAGCTTCTCTATTTCCAGTTAAAAGAGCTCCATGGGTAGTAGAATAGAAAGATGGATGAGTTGCCTCACCAGCAAACAGAACTACAGACTATTGATGATAAAATGAAGTAAATAATCAAATTTAAAAAAAAAAGGAATTGCAAGGTAGCTACTGTAAATTTTTCATCGTTAAATTGTTTCATACAACAGTAAAGTTTTGAAAGCAGATGACTATCTATATTTAGAAAAAAATTAAGATAAAAAGTACCTTTTTAGTATTATCTTGCAGTGTTTTAGAAACTGGGTACTTCAGGTTAGCAATATCATCCTGTGTTGCTCCCACAGCAATATAGCTGTAAGATCCTCTGGTATATTTATTGTTACCCCAAGACGTGCTTTAAAAAAAAAAGAATTAATGAGAATTTGGTTTTCTAATATCTATGCTTTGTTAGGAGATTAATTATTTTACTAAATAATCTAAAATGCATGTTTACAAAGATAACTAATTTTTTAAAATAACCCACCGTATAACTTTAACTAAATTTGGAATGTTGTCTGACATAGACTGGACAAACATTTTAACCACTTTGTCCATATCTTCTTTTACTTCATCATCTGTTAAAGACTCCAAGAATAATGCCTCTGTTCCAGACAACCATCCTATAGCAGAGATTAAATATGGATTAGTATTTTTTACATACAATTTTATGCTACTACTTCATCACACATAGACAATGTAGCCCAGTATTTGTGAATAGGTTTTACAACATATATCAGGAAAACTTTTTTTAATATACTAGAACTGAATTAAGATGCAAGTTCATTCTTGTAAATCTCTCCAGAAAACATCTATAATGTGCAGCTATTAAGATTATTATATGTGTCTTAATATGTAGACTGTTTAAAGACTAAAGGAAAAAGATGGGGTTTTGTCAATTAGGTCTAAAACAAATTACACTTTTTAATAAACACAGTATCATGAGCAAAGTTGACAATCTCTTAGCTGCAACACTTACCAACAAGCACATTGTCATGTACAACTTCTAGAGAATAGATTTTCCTGTACCATCTCTCTCTGAGATTTTCACATGTATTTACAGAGGGATCCCAAGCCAAATGGATACGATGAGTTGGTTTCTCAAGTACAGGCCCATCAAACACAAGAATGACTTTATTCACTATTCCAAATCCCAAGCGATGAATGGCATCCATCTTTTTTTGGGGAAGTGCTGGGGTAAACATCCTATCACAAGCTGCTTTAAGAACACCTAAAGACACAGTAACTATCACATGATCTGCATAAAATATGTCACCATTTTCACATTCCACAATAACCATGTCTTCAGGGCACTGATCTCCACCAGGGGCTTGTGCCACATCTCCCCAATAGATTTTATGAACAGGAGTGTTAAACTTAATTTTTTCTTCAGGAATTCCTTCTTTGACAATATCCAGTATAGCACTAAAGCCTCGAGGAATCACAAGATGGCGGCCTGGAAGTTCTTTGTAAGAACCAAATTGAGATAGAGAAACATCATTTAGACTGTTACATCCACTTATACAACATTCCAGAAGCCGACGTTGGTGATATACTAGCTCCAGCTTATGTCGCTCTTCCCCAGCTGTATTTGCCAACTTCTCCTGAATCATACGCTCTAGCTCTCCACCTAGACTCTCATTTACATCAATTGGAATATGTGATAGAAAATAATCCTCACAAGATGTTAACATTGTACCATAAGCGAAGTCAACTTTTTTCACGGTACCCTCATGAATTGTTTCACCATTTTCAGTCATATATATATTTTTACTGTTTAAATGAAGCTCTCTTTCTGTAAGTAGATTATTTTCATCAGCCAGTTTGTAGATAGGATTGTGTTTGACACCATGTATCCAGTTAGCACCCATTTCTGCTTTACGGCCATTGTTATCTAAAAAAAAATTAAAAAACTTGTTAGGCCTAGAATATTTTTCAAAACCCCACAAAAATTTAAAAATCTGCGCTGCCAGCATTTATAAAACTGTCATGGTCACCCCACTGTATGTTTTTAAAGAGAATACTGAAATATAATAACATTTTGTCTTTAGTTACTTTAGTTAGCCCATACTTTAATTTTTAGTGGGCATACTTTGTACAATAACTATGGAAAGGATTTTTTATACCAGGGTCTGATAATAGAATCTTCTTTTTAAAAAGGGGTGTTAGGTTACTGGTAGGTAGATCTAGCTAAAATACACATATGGCCTGCTAATGTCAATGCTAACTCTATCATCACTAACCCTAACACTAACAGTAACACCAATCCAAGTCCTACATCTACCATATGCCTAACAGTAACCCTTTACTTTTAACCATAGAACTTGTCAAGATTACAATAGGCCTACTCAGAACTTAGATTACTACCAACAATCTTAGTTCCTAACACACTCATTTTTGAAAGAATCTAGATCTAGATTCTAGATCTATTAATAATCTATAAGATATCCGGACATAAACATCTGATCTAGATCTAGATTCTAGATCTAGAATCTCTACTCTAGAAGTAGAACTCTAGAATGAGTATTCTAGATTCTAGAGCTAGATTCTAGCTAGCAGCTAGATCTAGAGGTAGATCTAGATCTAGATTCTAGATCTCTAGATCTAGATTCTAGATCTAGACCACGAGACCTAGACTAGATCTAGAATCTAGATTCTCTAGAATACTTTAGACTTAGACTTTAGATTTTCTAGATCTAGAGAATTAGATCTAGAATCTAGATAATAGATTGATAAGTAGATCTAGAACTATAGACTCAAGAGTCCCTTATTTATTAGATCTAATCTAGATCTAGATCTAGTTAGGCGAGTAACAATGTTACACTACACTAGACTTCACAAGAGTCTACTAGATCTAGATTCTAGATAGTAGATCTAGTACTAGGCCCTGCCCTAAGGCCTAGGCTAGAAGTAGAAGATTCCATTTTAAAAAAAAAAGTTTTTTCTCACCGACAGGCACACTCCAAATTCTGCCACCTATCCGATCTGATGCTTCAAGAATAATAAAATCACTAAAGCCTTCAAGTTGTAGAAATTTTCCAGCAGCTAATCCAGCTATACCACCACCTACAATGACAGTTTTTGGTTGTCGTTTTCTCGACTTCTCTTGAATCCCGTCTTCCATTATGAAACAGCTGACGCTTTCGCGGCTCATAAAGAAAACGAATTATTTTAGGAAAAAATATCCTTTTCAAGACACGTATATTAACAACTGAATTAAATCCTAGAACAGAAAACTGTTATAAACACTCATCACATATCTGGTAACAATTCACAACAAAATTTAACATATTCAAGTAGAACACTTGCGAAACACTGTGTAACATTGACAGCACAACCTTCGCAGTTGCCTACATTAATGTTCAGTATGCTGACGTCACAGTCCGTGGCTTCACGCGTTGTTTGGGTAATTCCATTCTAACTGTAGGGCTGCTAAAAATAGACAGTATTTCATTGCTGCGATGGTCTAAAACAAGGTCATAATGGCCAAAACTAGAAGGAGTTTTAACTCATTTGAAATAGCTATGATCTAGGTTTTAACAATATTCGTTATAAAAATGGTTTTATTTTAAAATCTGAGGAAGATTATGCCTTTCTTCTTTTTTAATACATTGTATCCCTGGGATACGTCAGCCATATTGATTTGTTATATAGTCTGCTCAGACACATTTCGATTGTGATATTTAGACTCAATGACTATTTGAAAATCTTTCTTAAAGATATAATATGAATATTATTGAAGTTAGTATCTTTATTTTCTAAAAAAGACTATTATAGTGTGCTAAAACAGTGTGCCTCCACGCCCCCACCGCGTGTAAATAGGACTAAACCACATAAGCGTTGGTCTTTGTAGCACTGTCTATATAATAAATGCCATATGGCCTATTTATTTAAAAAGAAAATCTAAATCATTTTAACTTCCATTTAAAGCATCCTAAAGTAAAAGAGAACACACTGTCTGACTATAACAAGACAACAACATATTGCTAGTTTTGTAATTGTCCAATGTATTTTTCTTCACCTGACCACGGCCCTAAAAGCCTCTGTGCCTACTATTGTTACCGTTATTGAATAAATTGAATAAATTGAAAATGAAATTAGCCCAATCTTATAATTCCAGCACAATTTAAAGACTACACACGCCCCGACAGCAACATCAAAAGCAGTGTTTCTCCCAGACTTTTTCTCGGGATGGGGGGGGGGGAGTATGAAAAGATGTTTGGAAGAAATTCTGATCGAAAGGGGGAAAACCTCGACACAATATTTTGCTGCCGGAGAAAACAGAAATAAACGGCCACGAGCTGTCTAGTTTTTGAATGACACAATTCGTTATACAACAAAGTCGCCCCCCCCCCCCCTTGTTGCGAATATTAATGGACGTGAAGGAATTTTGATATATAGCTATGTTAAATTGCCATTCAATACTATTAAAGTGTGTTAAGTAAAGCAATTTTAAATGTAAGTAATACGCGAGGGCTTATACGTGACTCAAAACGGGAATATAAACGTGCATTTTTTCCACATGTATCTGACAAAAGAAACGCGAGTGGTAGGCCTACAAGAGAAGTCTGGAACCAACGCTATCTGCCCCATGCTTGGGGGTATACTGACCTTGCACTGGCATCGCTGATTTCGTCTGTCGGGTAATCGCCAGCAGTGACGTCAGAGCTCGTCTCTGTTTGATAATGCTTGGGATTTGGTTACGTTTTTTTTTACTTGGTAAAGGACGTCTCAAATACATTAATCACATTATTTTTACAAGAGAAGCTGGGGTCTGCCAGTCTTGTATGATTCCAGGGGATGATGGTATGAATGAATTTGTGTCAGAGAGTAATAGACTTCACTCTGCCGTCTGTTCCAGAAAGTAGACAGGATGAGTTGCAGGGCGAACCTTTAATTTGATTCCGTTCTCAAATTTAAATGTCAATTTTTTTTATTCTGAATTTAAAAAAAAAATAAAGTTCTGAATATTTAAAACAAAAACATCATTTTCCAAATAGACGTCACATACTTTCAACTTTTTTTGACGACCCTCTTTTCTCTTTCCATAATTAAAGCACGTGATTGAGATTGCACCTAATCACACTGTAATGAGCTGAGGCGTTAGATACATTTGACAAGTGACGTCATGTCTCCTGGCATGCATGTGTGTCGGACTGGTTGATACCTTACCTGACACCCCCAGCCACTTTGTTTTGTCTGGTCTTCTATTTGTTCGTTAAGTGTGTGAGTTTGGTCTAGTGTTTACTTGGTAATGTTAATATTTTTAAAAATTAAGATCCTTTTCATATGAGAAGATCTAAAAGACAGATTGAGTTGGTCAGTTTTTCTGACCCAGCTTTAGTGTCCCCGACTTGAATATGTAGCTTACTCAGTCAAAGACTCATGCGCTGCCACCTAATGCCGAGTTACTATTAGCAGTAGATAATGGTGCACACTTTACTGACCCCTCCATACAGACAGTGGCGTAGCGAGGTCGGGTGTCACCCGATGCGGCACTTAATGGTGTCACCCCCCCCCCCCCAAAGGCGTAGCGACCCTTCCCGGGGACAAACTTTCAAATTTTCGATTAGCACCCCCCCCCCCACTCAAATTTTTCTCTATATATTTTTCCATTTTTTGCCTTGGTGTCACCCCCCCTAAATGGTGTCACCGGGTGCGATCCGCACCCCCCCCCTCCCGCTACGCCTCTGCATACAGACATGTTTTACAGTATTTCTGCTGAATAATAAATTCAAGATATTTTTTAAAAGTTCAATTTCATTCTGTGCTGATCACAATGTCCTACCTGATTCTTTAACTACAACTGTACTTATGTTTTTTTTTAATTTCCAACTGTGCATTCTTTGAAAATAAAGTTTTATTACATTTACGCTGTCTCGCTTTAGCATTCCTTTTTTAATGTCTTGTCCTTGCCACATTTTTAAAGTTTCGAGAATCACGTGACCTAACATAGACACTATCGCAAGAAACGTGTTTAATGAAACGTAATCGTGGTCTTGTTTAGTCACGACTACAGCGATGGAAACAATTGCTGCAATTGATAATGTCATACGGTTTTTGTTAACATTTAAAAAAAAACGTTTTTGTTAAAGTTTGAAAACCGTTTATTAAAGCTTTTAAAAATCGTTTTGTTAAAGCTTTTAAGACTGTCTTTTTTTTTAAGTTTAAAAAAAAACTTGAAACGGTTTAGTATGTCATTGTTACTCGCACAAAGGTTGCGACGGAAACATTAAGGACCGGAATGTTACGGAATGTTACGTAAAGCAATTTACAACACCAAAAATAGTGTAATTTCACTGTAATTGATATTTGATCATAATATATAAAAAAAAAACATGTATACTGTATGCAGGTGCTTATATATTTTTTATCAAGATTGCTAGTAATATGATGTCCTAATCATCATGATGTGTTAAACACATTTAAATTTATTGGATGGTATTACTTATAGTACACATTTTTTTTAAAAATCATTTTGCAAGGTAGTATAAGTATTCATTTAACTTATTAGTCGATTGTTAACTATTTTTTAACCTATTATAAAATTACACTTAAGTTGTAGGCCTATGTGTGTGTGCGTATTTTAAAGCCTATTTTATGATAAGTTACAATTTTCTGCTGTGAATTTGTTTATCTTTAAATTATTGGGCAGGTAATTTAATAGTTACTAGACTACCCGTCATCCGTTGGATAACTGTGGGTTTCGGGGGTCATCCATCAAAAAACATCACGTCTGTCACTCAGAGGCATAGCGACCCTTCCCGGCGCCCGGGGACAAACTTTTCGATTTGAACCCCCCCCCCCCCCGCAAGATTTCGATTTGCACCCCCCCCCCCCTCAAACTTTTGATGTGCACCCCCCCATTCAAACTTTCGATTTGCACCCCCCTCAACCTTTCAATTTATTTTTCCAAACCATTTTGGCGCCCCAACATATGTCCCCCCACGCGCCCCCCTTCCCCCCTCCACCTCCCCTTCCCCCCCCCGCCTCCCCTCCCCCTCCCGCCCCCCCCCCCCCCTCCTCGCTACGCTACTGCAGTGTCACTTATCGTCACAAAAAACAGATCCCACATTCAAAAATATGTTTCTTATCTTTTAAAAACACCGAAAACACCGATTTCGGACTATCCCTTCATAAACTGACGTCACAGGTGACCTACTCAACTCTACTTCACCTGCCCAGTGTCCTGCCAAGTCTCAGACAACATGTTTTTATCGTTTAAAAAACAATTCCAGCCGAGCATGTATCTGACCACACTATCCTTTCATATGCTTAGGACAAAGAAACAGATGAACTCTACTTCACCTGCCCTGTATCTTGCCAAGTTCAGATAGGCAACGTTATCATTCACATCTAAAAAAAAAATTGAAAAAAAAAATTTCATTGACATATTGGTCTAGAACCCGTGCCTCCTGCATGAGAGCTGACTACGCTACCATTTTAGCTATTTACTCGTGACGTCACAAGTGAATTTTTATACTATACTATGTGTCTCCTTATGCAACTTGATTTACGCGTATAGATTCTAGATCTAGATCTAAAAATAAGTCTAGTAGTACTAACTTTCAAATTAAATTTTATCTTAAATAAGCCAAACAAAGATTTATATAAAATAATTAAGGCCTGAAATAGATTCTAGATGTAGAATTTACATTAAGTCTAGATCTAGAATTTACATTGAATCTAGTGACCTACATCTAGGCTAGATCTAGATCTAGAATCTAGGCTAGATTCATAAATTTCCTTCGATAGCTGATCTTTAGATCTAGAGAAATTTATCGTAAAACTAAATGAAAAAGACAGTTGAAAATTGATATAAGTGTTGGAACGTAATAAATACAGAAAACGGACGTATTGTTTAAGTTATAGCCGGCAGAAAATTAGATTTAGAACGCGTTAAACTTTGGAATGGGAACACAATTTTCTTCGATAGACGCCGCCATTTTATTGTACTAAAGAGTCAACAAAAAACTCTGACGTCACTATCAAGGGACGTCACTATCCCCACAAAGTTTATTCAAAGTATTAACATTTTTAAAAAAATACGGTTAATTTAACAATGAATAAATCAATAAATTAATTAACGTCTTTAAATAAATGTGTGATTAACAGTCTGTCTGCATTAAAAAATTATTCTCTACCTACATACTATTTTACAGCTATCCAGATTGAGTCGAACATATCACAATAGTCGATCAGGCAAACAAACAAACAAACAAAAAAACAAACAAAAAAATAAATATTCAAACATGTAAACAAACTTGACTTTTAGTAGTATACTAGAATACCCGTCATCCGTTGGATAACTGTGGGTTTCGGGGGTCATCCATCAAAAAACATCACGTCTGTCACTCAGAGGCATAGCGACCCTTCCCGG